TGCCCTTTTCATCCGCTTCAGAGAAAAGCGCAAAAAAACACAAAGAAGGCCTGACCCCTTCTCTTTCACCCGTTTCAAATCGCGTCAGAAAGGCAACGGGCCCTTTGATGTTGAAAAGGCCCCAGCTGGTACTTCTCCTTTGACGAGGCTGTTCAGATACATGAAACATGAGGTGGACTCCGGTTAAAGACCCCTGGACGAGTGCTGTTGCCACCTCTATTTCCTGCTCAAGAAGAAACTGAGCCTTGGCTCCATCGGTTTCGGGCTCCGGTCTTTATTACTTCAAATCTGAGTCCTGCAGCTTTGTGGCTCTTGGCTCAGATGGTCAAGATGGCAGAATGACGGGAGCTGAGTCAGTGTGCCTGTGACAAATACAGTGTCTTCAAAGCCCATTCTCTCCAGGAGTAAACAGGCACTGCCAGTGAGGCTGGCCAGACCTTCACTTGACAACATCCTGGACTGAAATAGTGGAAATCCTCCCCATTATCCCTTTCCTTCTCAGAATGATTAATTCTGAACTCTGAATTTCAATAAACTACAGATGAATGCATCTCCCGGAGGCTGTATCTGTAGGGGCCTTGCAAATCTCTTTCAATACGTTTCACGCTGCAACAGAATGAGCAGTTCTGGCTCAGGTGTGAGTCATAGCAGCCAGGACTTGTACCATGAGGCTAGAACGTGATTCAGGATATTTTACTGAAACCAAAAGGCTCCCAGCTGGTTTGTGATGTCTAATGTGCTCCAGAATGCCCGCGCAACTAAATTCAGAGGGGAATTACTTTCACAACTGTATGGAGAGAGGGAGTGCAGGTCATCCATTAGAGAGGGGTGTTTTGCTACGGCCATGCTCTGTGTGGCCTGGGAGGCACGAATTCTCAATGCGAGACAGCAGCTTGCTGCAGCTGTAATTGCAAAATTTCTAACTTAAGTATCCACACTGATTAATGAAACCATACAACACAAAGCACTGGAGGGCTTTTATACGTTTTAAAAATGTGGTCTGTACAGATGTCTTGTTTTTGTTGCAGCAGGGACTACATTCACAGAATTCCAAATTTAAATCCCCTCCCAACAACAAAACTATACTGTGTGTAAGTCCTCTTATGTAACATTTTTTTTATCTGATAAAAGAAAAAAAAGAGCAGCACTGATGTCAGCAGCTGGAAATGCAGAGATGAAGCCTACCTTTGATGTTCCAACATGAATGAAAATAAAAATATAGAAGTGGAATATCGTGGAGTTACAAGCTGCCATCTGGACAGAGAGATAGCAGTGTTATTGTATGCCACCTGCCTTTTAAACTGTGGAGTCTCACGTCCTGCTCAGAGCCCAGGGTAAAGGGAAATGTCACTTGAAAGACTGATTGAATTTCAGTAGCAGACATCAGTGCTCTTCGTGACAAGCACAGCCCGATCAATATGGGTGTTTAAACCACCGCACAGCAGGAGTTTACAGTTCATTTCATTTTTTTAAGTCTGCACTTCAGTGTTTATCTACACAGCTGAGACTCTCAGATCTGGGTTTAAGAAACTGTATGATTGCTGGTGCAATACACTGAACAACACTCTCAGAACATGTTTGTACATGGTTTTCACATTTGTCTCATACATGGTCTAATTTTTAACTATGCAGCTTAAACATCAGCATCTGATATTGCTGTAAAATGCTGTGTTACTCAAATCCTTTACAACCCTTAGCATGACAAATGAGGTCCTCCCTGTTAAATTGGTCTAATTATACAGCACAGATCAATCACAGTTCCTCTCCTGTATTATAATTTCACAAGCCCTTTCTTTCACGGATATTAATTACCAGGTAAGAAGCAATGGACATGTGGCTCTAGCTCATCAGAGAAGCATAGCTACATCTTCATCAGTAGCTGCTTCCTTTAGAGGAGTTTCTGCAAAGCACAGTTATAAACGTCTTAAAAAGGTACTGCTTTCTTGAGAAGTGGATTCAAATCTTCCACATGCTCTTGAAAATACCACAATCCTGAAAGATACTCCTGTATAAGAATCTAATTTTTTCTGAGGTATACATTGAATGACTTTATCCCCTTTTTTCTAACGCCAAGTCATCTGTTTTAGGACTCTAAATACACATCAGCCCTCTCAGGTATTTATGAACAGATCTCTGAGAGGTCACTCAGCATCTCTGCTGTGAGCTAGGGAGGTCTTGCTCGCAATGTCTTCCTCCTTGGGACTAGTTATTTGAAAGAGGATGTGCAGAGGAGCTATCTCAGATTAGTTTAACACAGAGTTAACGGTGTTGTTATTATATAAGATGCAGTATTTACTATAAAGGAGAAGCAAGGAGAAGAAGGCCTGTGTCCATTCAGCATGGGATCAGCGAATTGGGAGTCATCGTGCCCCAGGTATTGAAGTCAAGTGCTCTTTACATTCCCAGCTACAGCCCTCCACAGGGACACAGATTTTCAGGCAGGCTGATGCCATCCAATTCAGACAGGAAAAAAAATCATTTTAAATTAAAAAAAAAATCCTAAAACTGTTTTTAATGCGGCCAGAAACCTTGTTAAATCGTGAGAGCAAGTGAGAGAGAAAAAATCCTTTTGAAATGTTGTTTTTTTTCTCCCGACTCAAGGAAAAAGCGTATTGCAGAGGCTGTTCATTAAAGACAGGTTCCTGGATGGCCTTGAGATGGGTTGCCATAGTGAAAATGAATGTGGATGCGGTCTAGTGCATTCTCATTCTTAAATATTCAGAACAAATGTTTTTGTGACAACATGGAGTGTAATAAATAGAATGAAAAAGACAGTTCTGCCCTTAGTATCTATCAATCTCTATCCTGAGCAGGCTGAACTGCATTGCACACACAATTCCCCAAAGAGAAAATGAAATGGGTATTTTGTACACAGGGTTTAAATTATGAAAACAATGGGCAAAAGTCAGCTGTTTAGAAAGAAATGTAACAGTATCTGCCATCACTTTTGCCTAAATCATCTTGAGACTTCCACGATTAAACATTTTGATCCACGTCTGGTGCATCCTGATGGACTGAACCTTGGGGAGGGTGACAAAAAATATCAAGTTGGCAAAGCAAGCTGGAGCTCAGCTTGAACGGTCCCCGTCAGCCTGGGCTGATGTGTCAGAGGTGGCAA